ATGTTCTGTTTTGTTTTTCCGCCCCCCCCCCCCCCCTTCCCAAAACAATGCCACCCTCACTCTTCCCAGACCTATACTTACAGAGATCCGAGGGCTGCTGCTCCGTTGTTTGTTGACATCCAGCGCTGCAAGCTTATGGTGCTGTAATGTGCAAGTGAGGCCAGCAGAGGGAGCATTGCGACAATGGATTTAAACAATAGAGCTGTTGGACCTTGGTAAATATGGACCTGCGGAGGGGGAAGGGGAGAACGCTTGGGACAAGGGTGGGGGACAAAGAGGATAAGTGCACTTTGTTTTAAAGTGAACTTGTTCTTTAAAACCAAAAAGTACATGACAACACCAAGCCACCAGTTTTTGGCAGTTTATTTTTTTTCTCCCCTTTTATACAGGTATAGAGTGCATTGAACCAAACTGATAATTCAACACCTAAGCAGAGTTTCTGATGTCTAATTAAAAAAAAAAAAACAATCACAAAAAAACATAGGAAGATAGGAACTAGTGTTGGCAGAAGTCCTGCTTAGCCACCCTAATGAAGGGCTTAACACTACATGGAGAACCCCTTTAACGTAAAGCAATAAAACTGCTTCAAACATACCCAATCAAGAAATTGTTATACAATATGATGTGTGCAATAACACAGATAAACATGCATTTCACATAGCAATAACATGCAAAGTACAATACACACAGCAAACAATCATCAATTATTTTTTTATTGTTCCGATTGCTCTATACTGGTTGAAGGTGAAGTCTGACTGATTACTATACATCACTTCTGCTGGCCATCCTTAAAACTCTTCAGAATCGACATATTTGATTCTTCCAGGAAAGTTGGATGGCTGCATTCCTGCTACATGCCATTATTTACATCCGCTGGCCCCTAAATTACCACTGTATCCTGAAAGGACATATGGCGCCAGCAGATGGAACCACAGTGCATGGTGGGGTACTAGGCATGAAACACACCCGGAAGATTCTGCCAGGAGCTGTAGCTCTACAAGAGGAGGTGGCAGGATAGACAGGTATAAAAAGTCTTTTTTGTTTTAATATTTTTAAAATGGTGACAAGGACTCTTTCATTGAACACTACAAGTCTTTAAAGGCTTCCCTATTTGTCCTCACATAGCATATTTATAGAACAGAGGAAACCTTATACTTGTATTCACAGCCTTTATTGTGCATGTACAATATTTAGCAGTGTATTTGAGTGTTGGGGAAGCGGTTTCCTGGTGAACAATCAAACACAGAATATTTATGAGTGTCAATTCCAGTCTGTGTTTATCAGCTCTGTATATAAAAAAGGGGCATATCTATAGGAGTCCTATTCAGAAAACATTAAAAAAATAAATACATTGTATAAAACAGGTAAAAGACCATTTCTGAAATACCAGAAACATTTCTAGTGAAAAACACAAAATAGGTGAAATGTATTATTTTCCTGGCCACAATTAACCAGATTGTTTACCTTAAAAGAGACTGTCACCTTGACCTGAATGGACAAAGTGACAGGTCCTCTTGAGAGAACAACTCCCACCAGCACAAATATCTACTGCACTGTCCCCCTTCAATGTATTTGTCCTTCTGAGCCATGCGGCTGAACTCTGGTTGAGTTTTTACTATCCTACACAGTAAGCTCTGTGTAGGATGGTCACTGAGCTTACACAGGGTAGGAAAGTTGAAACTCAACCAGAGTTGGGCTTGTCCCCCCCCCCCCTTCCTCTCCCAGTGTGTATGTCTGGTGATTGGCCTCACTGCTTCTTCCTGAGAAGGATCAACAAATGATCCCCCAAAACCGGAAGTACGAGGTATCTCTTGACAGCTCTAGCAAAGGAACGGAGCTTCAAGGAAGCACAACAGAGGTACCAAACGGGGGAGGGGGGGCATAGGGTCGTTATTCCTTCAAAAGAACCTCCTGCTTTGCCCATCAGCTTCAAAAGACATTAGTGTATGGTCTCCCAATCTGGCTGTTTGCTACAGTTTTCCTCCAGCTAAGCCAGGAACAGTAATGTCTGCACATGACTTCCCTTTCTTCCATTCCCTAAACAGGAAGGCTCATACAAGCTAAACTACTTGTTAAAATGGTTAGTTCACCTTTAATAACATTTTTTTTTTTTAAATCTATATGCATAACAGCTTTGACTGAACTTTAAATTGCCATCCTCTGTTTATAAAAATGACTCTTACTTTTTTAAGCTGCTCCCCATCTACATCCTGTCGATGTCAGGACAGGCCGACTATTGGATGCGCAGACCCAGCCCCTCATGAAGGAGCATTCAGTTACGAAAATGCGGCTTGCCTAATCATCCATGTACAGTCCACTCTTTTTCCCACTCCCAGAATGCTGTGCTCAGCCACTGCTGCGAGAGGGAGTGGAGTTAACATGCAGGGTTAAGCAAGCCGAGTTCTTGTAACCAAATACTCATTCATGAGGGGCCAGGGCTGCCCTATCCAATAGTCAGTCCATCCTACCATCTAGGCAGGAGGGAAAAAGGGAGCTTGTGGTAGCAGCAGCTTTAACGGCAAGAATCAAAGCTGTAATGCAAAAGGATTTTTTTTTCCAAAGTGATGTCCATGGTCAACATTACTTAAATTAATGCACATTTCTTAAAAATGTTTAACAAATCTGATACTCTAAGGCAGCCTTTCTCAACCAGGAAGAGGGCTTCTGCTGTAAAGGGATGACTCTGATATATATTAAAAATAAAA